ATACGGTTATTAGTCATTTTAAAGCCTTGATTATACGGTTATTAGTCTGACAAGCATCTGGATGTAGAAGACCTTATTTGGACAAGAAAACATGCCCGACTGGTTAAGTCATTGTTGGATGTCTGAACTGATGAGCAGACCATTTCAGGCTGGAGTTCACCGGACAGTATTGAACTGTAAACCTTTAAGTGTTGGGACGGGGCCATGCTTATATATCTGAAGTGGCGTCTGATGGTAAAAGTGTACATGTGGAGGCTAGTGGGATTCTAACTGAGCCTTGCGTTTGAGGTTGGATTCAACTACATTTGAGATGCCTGGTTGAATACTAACGAATCCAAAAACTTAATCCTGCAACATTTAGATCAACTGAAAGTAAAAGTTAAGGGTGCCGCTTGTTATCCAGATCCATGATGATATAGAATAAATTACGGCACTCAGGATTGTTACCTTCCATCCACAGCTGTTCAGAGAGGAATGACGTGTTTACAATGCAGCATATACAGGAGTGACAGATGGATAGAGAGAAAATGAACATGTAGAAAAAGATTGGCTCACAGCTCTTTTTAATTAATCCTCAGACAGACATGAAGAAGATGGGGGTATTATGCTGGGAGGGCTTTTATCAACCAGGGAGTTGTATTAGTCTTTCCTAATGTTGTCTTCATCCACTATAGTTTGGAGACCCTTTTATTCCGATAGCATTGCACCTGCACTTCCTAAATCCCGGGCTTACATGTACTGTAATATCCACACAGTGTTGTGTTGTAAATATCTTCAACACCTACTAATGTGATTGATGTTTATGTGTGTGTGTTTACCGTTTTAGCTGGGAGAAACACAACAAATGAGGAGCTGGAGAGCATGTTGGAGAGTGACAACCCGGCCATCTTTACCTCGGGGGTAAGCAATACAACAAATGCAAGATGAACGCCCACAAAGCCCATTTTTAATCTAATTTCACCCCTCTCTCTGTTGCGCCATCTTAGATCGTTATGGACAACATCACCGAGCAAGCTATGAATGAGATCGAGACGCGGCACAATGAGATCATCAAGCTGGAAAATAGTATCAGAGAGCTTCACGACATGTTCATGGACATGGCCATGCTGGTTGAGAGTCAGGTGAAAACATCGATCCTCAAACCTGCATATACATTCATAAATTGGCAATCCGTCTGTCAACATGGACAATATAAAGAAGAGTTACAACTCCAGTTTGTAGGTTTTAGAATTTCTTCCTGTCCATGGTTTGAAAATGTGCCCTATAGCTAATGCAAACGTTCAGTAGCCCGCTGAGTTCACAGTGATAAAATCATCCACCGGCTATCCTGCTGCAGCAGCTGCTGCTTTCCCCTGTCATGAAAACTCCACTTCAGACAGATGGCAACTGGCAGTCTTTTAATTTACGTAAAAGTTGTACGGTGTTTTAGTGCAGAGTTAGAAGGTTATGTTTTCAGCTCCATCTGGTTTTCTGTTTGCAAAATATCTCAATATATTTGACAGAATTTGGGGCACAGATAATAATTGGCTCAAGGATCAGTTTGTTGGAATCATAATCTGTATTTGGGATTTCTGCCATCAGCCTAGTTTTTTTTATATGTAATTATCATGGTGCGTTCAAGAGCTGGAAGGAAAATCTGACGTCTGGGACTATTAAATTGGCAACTAAACAGAATTGCATTAACTTGCTGTTTTGTAAGAGCCTTAAATTAAATAAACCGTATTCTTTACAGGGGCTTTAGCTTTGTGAGTTGAGAATTTGTCATTTCTCTGTGGTAGAAATTTGGTTCTGTTAGAGAGCAAAGATGCTAGTGTTGTGCCGAGGTACTTTCATCATGCAGTGAGTAGTGAACAGCTGCACTGACGATATGTAGTTTCCGTACTATATAGCTGCATCAAAGCCACATACCTACATTATCCTCCAGTGTACCGTATAACGTGTAAGAGTTGATTGCTCTTCTCATGTAAGTGTTGAGCTGCAGGTAAATCTGTAGGTCTTGCCTTTAAATGTGACCGCATGAGGGTGTGGGCTGAACCCCCACGGAGATTAAATGTTTCCCTCATCAGAAGTATTTAGTCTGAATTATGCAAAAGTGAATGCGAGCACATGCATAATAAAATACGCTGAATGACAAATACGAAAGACAGTTTTTGCATGCAAGTGATTTGAATTAGAGCACAATGCAATAGCTGGCATGCTTTTACAGTGGGAGTGATAATTGTTTAATAATTCAGTAGTAGTGTGTGTGTTTGTGTGTATACTCTTTCATTCTCGTCAGCCATATTAATGCTCTAATTCTAAATAACTCAATTAACTAACCCTTCTTTTATTAACAGAGTGCCACATCTTTTAAAATTATACTTCTGTTCTGTTGATTCTGCCTTTCTCAGCTTTGCATTCTCTTTCCCCTCTTTTTCACACAACACTGTCACTCTAAGCTCTAGAGAGAGAGCAGCGCTCCCCTTGTAATACAGAAAGGTAATTTACCTATGATTCCTTCTTTTTTGTCTTTTCTTTATACTTGAAATCTAGTTTACCTTAATTATCACTCTAATGGAAAGGGGTTGATTCTGTATTATTTTTAACAATCCTGGGTCAATGCTAAATGTGCAATATTAGGCTTTCTTTGTTAATGAATGCTGATATTAACATAGTTAATGACCTCTGCTGCTGTGTCTGTATTGAACATGTGGATATGAATAAAGAAAAAAGAGAGAAAAGAGCAATTAGCATCTTTTTAAAAGCCTCAGTCTTTCCCATTCTCTAAGATGTGTATATAATAAGTATGAACTAGGCATCATGTAATTATTCCTTGAAATCTATTAAATCAAATCTTGATGTGGTTAAAGGAACTGAGTTCTCACCACCAAAACAATGACTGAGTCTCTTGTTCTCTGTTCAGGGTGAACTGGTGAACAACATTGAACGAAATGTGCTGAACGCCCTTGATTATGTGGAGCAGGCAAAGGAGATCATCCCAAAATGCAAAAAGTTCAAAAAGGCCGGCAGGCTGGTGAGATGCAAGAGACACACATTCTACCAACTGCCTAATTATTTCTTCTTTCCTTTGTCCCTTTCTGCTTCCCCTTCTCTCTCTTTCCCATTCTCACCCATTATTTCTCCCCTTTCCCTCACCTCCTCTCCATCTGTATCCACTCCTCTTCCTGCCTCCACATCTGGCTCCCTATTTCCTCTTCATGTCTTCCACACCTCCTCTGTAACTAACCTCTCCTAGGGGGAAATGATAGACCGCATAGAGTACAATGTGGAGCACTCAGTAGACTATGTGGAGAGGGCAGTATCAGACACTAAGAAGGCGGTTAAATACCAGAGTAAAGCACGGAGGGTGAGTCGCATACACAACAAAATAATGCATGGGCACAATCATGCTATGAAAACATGAAAGATAACTTCAGAAGCATTGCATGTATATATTGTAGTGTGCAACTGTCGTCGGTGTGTGTGCATGTGGAGCATGTGGGTCTTGACTGTATTTGACATTTTCTACAGTAGTGATTTCAAATCAGGGGTATGTGTACCTCAAGGGATAGGCTACTACTACAGGGCTGTAAATCAAAAAAACTTTAACAACTCACATGAACGCCACCTGCTGCTGAGAGTTCATGAAATCTGGTAAGCACTGCAAGCAGGCAGAGATGCCAAAATAGCTAAAACTAATGGATACATTATTGGAACGTGGGCCACGGCGAGTGGTAGTGGTACAAATATAAATTCCAGCTCGTTTAACACATCCATAAACCCACATAAATAAACAAAAATGTTGTTTTTACTCTTCTTTTTTTACCAATAAATGTTTATTAGTGAGCTTTAGAGGGGCTGGTAAGTGGATTTTGTTATCTTTGAACAGAACCAGGCTAGCTGTTTCCCCCAGTCTTTATGCTAAGCTAACCTGCTGCTGGCTTCAGCTTCTTAATGGCCGATCATGAGTGGTATCGATGGTCTCATATACGTAACTCTCGACTTGAATCGAATAAGTGTATCCACACAAATCTTTTTATGTGTTAAACGTCAACAATTCCAGGATCACTGTGTCATGTTTTCACTTGCCCTTTTAAATAATGGATATTATTTAATGGTGTTAAATAACATCCACACATTTGGAACACATCAGTGGTGTCAATGAAGGGGTCCTTGAGCTCACCTGACTGGGCTGCTACAGCAGACTAAATCAACAGGGAACAACTGGTCCACAGTTCATAAAGAGGGTTATTCACTAGGTTACCGTCATTTAACAATTTGTGCTCCAATGAAACAACTCCGCCACCTCTTGGTTAATAACTATAATAGCACTCAAAGGTGAAGAAATTCATACATCACATGACCCCAATCTACTACAAGGGTCATCTACTGATTGTTTCCTCACTCATAATTAAAGCACCAGCTTTCTTTCTCTTTTTTCTTTTCTTCTGTCTCTGTTTCTCATTCGTTCTCTCATTCCATCCACTGAATCACTATCTGACACTTTGTCCGCCTTGTTTTTCCTCCCATTTACTCCATCCAGAAGATGATCCTGATAGGAGGTTGTGTTGCAGTATGTCTGACGGTCCTCATTATTTCCCTCGCAGTTGGACTCAGTTAGGACCCTCAGAAATCTGTACAGAGCAGACAGGGCAGGAGGTGATGCCTCTCTCTCAGGCTCATATGTAAAAGTGTACTGTATAGTGGGGCTCTGTGTTGTGCTGTCAGTCACTGCTCGTTAGGAAGCAGAAAGGCATTACTGTCCTGAAGGCAGTTCAATGTGTCTTTGTGCACTCAAATATTTTACATTAACTTGACGTTCATTTTTTAAATATTTACTTTTTCTAAACTTAACAGTTGAAAGTTTTGAAGAGCTAACTTTCTTTTGTGTTTGTGTCATGATTCACATACTGTACCTACATCATATGCATGTCCGGCAGTCTGGTGAATAGCTTTGCATGTTTTTCTGCAAACACAAACTGCAGATATGTGGTTATGTTAATTGATAATCCAAAACCTGTGAATATATGTTAAATATGAGAATGATTCACATTTGTGGCATGTGGGAAAATACTGTATGTTATTTAATGTATTAATGAATGACGAAAATACAGGAACAAACGATTTATAGTTTTTAAAGTAGAGGATGTGGAAATGCTTCTAAACCAGTCACACTCCGACAACATCATTAGATACATTAAAAACAAATAGTCTTTCTCCCAGCTACATTGCCTTTTTCTGCTTTTCTTGTAAACTGCAATTTGTTCTGATTATTACAAATATTGCAACATGTGTTAAAGTAAATTACAAGTCATATCTCTAACATGTTTTTCTCTGCTCCCAATTTGCTGCCATGGATGACTGTTTATCTGTTGTTGTTAACACTTGACAGAAGAAAATTATGATTATTATATGCTGTGTGGTACTGGGAATTGTCATTGCTTCCATAGTTGGGGGAACGCTGGCCTAAACCTCAACCACAGTCACAATACATGTCACACACACACACACACACAACGGAGCAAAAACACGACAGTTTCACATTTTCTGTTTTCATGAATGCAATCCATTACATGTGTGACGCTAGGTGCGTCACATACTGTACGACACATGGCTAGAGGTGTTTTCGCATGAGTTGCTATTTTGTAAATGTGTGGTGCTGCGATCTGTTTATCTGACTGTTGAGTGTTGTCAACGATATGATGTTTCCAAAAGTGAATTCCTGAATGAAAAAAAGTTAATATATGAAATGTAACACTATACTAATACAGTCCAGCTTCCAAATATGACACATATTCAATTGTAATGTCTATTTTGTGTTGTACAGGCCACTAATCTGCAGTGTTTTTAAAAGCCAAGTTATCTATTTACATTTTAATTACTTATTCTTTTATTTTTAAGTTCTCTCTGTAATGTCCTCCACCTCCCTACAAAAGCCCGGCATGGTTTAGTTCACATGTAAATTGGTGTTTTGTTTTCTTTCACAAAAGGGAAAGAAGAAATGTTGAATATTTTGCTCGTATTCATCACACTGCCAAACTTTTCAAACGTCACTTCTTGTGGTTGACGGACACAGTGCTACTGTACTTAACTTCATCTGGCCTTACCAGTGTGCAGCATTTCTAACCGTTGCTCCATGTTGAGCGTGTGAATGTGAAAGAGGATATGCGTGTGTTCATTTGTAGCTTCATATTTCAACATGCTGTGTGCGAGTCGTGGGATGAGAACATGAATGCGTGGTATTAGCCACCTGTGTCTTTGTTTTGTATGAAGTGTAAACTGATATAAAGCTCTCTAACACTGCCGGTATGTTCAAATAAGCTGTTGAAATAGTCTAGTTTGAATTGATAATTCTGGTCTGTAAGTGACACATACTTGTTGTTTTATGTATTTTTATAATCGGAACATATCCTTCTGTCAAGCTGCTTCACTGTTTTTTTTTTTTATGAGTAAACATGAGTCAGTGAAAGCATCAGCATGAACTGAAAGTAGCTTGTAAAAGACTCATTTCTGTTTTCTGGTGACACATCAGACGTGCACAGACTGCAACCATGTTGCCATGTTGCCTACTCAACTTGTTGCCTTTGTGTTGTAATGTGATGACATGGTTTTGATTGTTAAATTTTGAGTTTGTTTTTGTTTAGTTTTCTTAGTAAAGTTTGTCTGAAAAATCACATTTGTTTTTGCGTTGTTTTGCACAAGTGCATTCAGAGACAGGAAGTCCATGAAAGAGAAATTCAACTTGTTTTTTCTCATAACTGTCGGCGTTCTGACTGTGAGTCATAATAACTTGCACACATCACCACCGCTGTAGAGATTTAGGAAATGTGAAACAACTTGTGACACAAGTTAAAGTCACAGAACCTCAAACACAAAAAGAGGAGTACTTCCTTCTAAAGACAAGGCAATCCTTACCCTCCAGTAGCTGTCTATTTACTTTGTTTAGCGCCAGAGTTCAGTGAAAGCGTTGAACCTGGACATTATGTTGTATTGGACTTCAGCCAAAATGTTTTTTATATTTTGAAGGCTGATTATCTCCCTCAGGAGATAAATTGCACCAATTTATTTGCTTTGATGGGTGTGATTTCTTCTTTCACCATTGGTAGGAATTCTATTTCTCTAAATTTTAAGGCTAATGCATTTTCTCCTGTATCTGTTTGGACATCCCACATTAGCGCTACATGAGTAAACCTTTGATGACAGAAACATATTTATTTCTCACAGTTTCTAATGTCCCTAATCGCAAGTTTTTGTGCAGCTCATGAACTCAGTGTTCATCAGTCATCTTTGTACATGGATCTGATATTGCTTTCCCTATAATGTAAGGATTTGCTTCCCATTTTAGCTGGGCAACTATGCCCCTTTGTCGCTCTTTTCATTACTCTTGTCTTGACTCTGAAGTTCCCCTTTCCTCACTGTCAAAGCACACAGAACATTTACTTCCTCTTATAGTCTCACACCCTCTGAGATTAAACATTACATTTTATTATCCCATAAAACTGGATACTACTTGAACAATTGTACTTTCTACTGCCCTCAGCTGAGCTTTCGGCTCAACATATACAGTAAAACAAAGTTCAGTTCAGTGTTATCTTTCCATGTATAAGTTCATCATAAAGCAAAGTGGGGTAATATAATAATGTGCTTTGTAGTATTGTTGCACCACTGCATTTAGTAATTGGATCATAATAAGTGTTCAATTATTAGAAAGTGTCCTTTTGCTTGCAAATTTCAGCAGATGCGAAATACTTCTACAACATACTGGATAAGAAAAGTCCCATTTGTCTATAGAAGGCTGTGTCTGTAGGAAAACCATGAACAGAAAATATAGTAATTCACTATAAGGAAGCTTTTCTTAAGTGTTATGCTTTCTTCAATGTTACAGTTTGAGCGATAGAATAAAATCTGGAAAGAGAAATTAATTATTTTCTTTGTGTCCACATCGTATCGCATCACTCGATGTTTTCCTCACCAACAGATGAACCTGGCTGTTTCACATCATCACAGACCACAGCTGGTTGTGCATCATCCCGAACAAGTACTGATCCACGCTCAGCTAACAGTTTTGTGTCTTTGTTGGGTTTTTTTGCGTCTCTTTGAAGTCAGTTTATATCTCTTTGAAACTGTTTTGCATCTCTTTTCTCTGTCCTTTGGTCCCCAGGCCTGTGACCGATTGGCCCATTCAGTAAATCATTAATATGTTTTATCTATTCACATAGTATCTCAATTGCACACATAATTTCAAATGTAGTAAATGTGGCTACAAGTCTGTGTTAAACAGAAGTGAATCCTGCCTCAGAGGCCTGGAAAGAAGTAGAAGCGCTTTGTCAGAGTGCATCTGTCTTTGGTCGGCATCTGTCTTTTGGCTGGAATTGAAAAATCTTCAAAGCGTTGCATGACCTGTGTGGTTGAAACAAACATTGTATGACATTAAGCAAGACTAAGACGAATGAAACAAGGCATTCATCATTGCTGCTCGCTATGTGGTGTTGTTGCCTCACTAACTGATATTACTTTCCACTTACTTTTCTGAAAAGTTCCTCAATGTCTTCCTTTTGTGCGAAGGTGTTAAATACCTCAACAACAAACTGGATGAGAAAAGACCCATGACCCGAATGTCTATATGAGACAGTATCTGGAGGAAAAACATACAGAAATGGGTCATATAATTAGTTTATATTTGCTAAAGTAACTATTCTTAGCTGATTTCAATGCAGATTATTGATATTAATCTTCAATGTGTTGTGAGGTGTAGAATAATCTAATAACATTTAAATGAACTGACCCGGGGTGCAGGAAAGAAGAGAAATGAAGTCTTTTTCTTTGTTTACAAATCGCAAACCATCATCCTCAATGTTTCCTTCACCAGCAGTATCAGAGACCACAGCTGGGTTTGCACCATCTGTAACCAGCACTGATCCTTCCCCCCCTGAAACACATGTGGCATACTTTTAATACAGTTCACTTAGTCAACAAATGAGACATGAGCAGACTCCTAATGTTTGTTCTATCTGTGAGAATAGAGTCACCTCCTCTGCAGGCCTGGATGATGATGATCTTGGGTTTGTTCAGCAGCGCTGGACATTTCTCTGGGCCCAAGTGTTTGTAAATGTTGTCGATGGGGAACTCATCTGGTATTTCATTATCAGATATCTTCTTTTTCCAGTTGACACCGAGGACAGTTCCCAGTTTCCCGTGTGACATGATAACCACCAACACACTGTCCGTCTCTTTGAGTTTCGGATGTTTGGAGAACTCATTTAAAGCATCATCGATTGCCTGTGACAACACAAAAAGGAAAACATCAGTTACTGTATCACTAAATCAACCAGACACAGAGAAATATATTTTATTTCCCTTTTTATAATAGTACCTTTCCTGTGAGGTTTGTGTGTTTCACCACCTCGTATCCCAGATCTGTGAGCAGTTTATCCATGTTTGCCTCATCCTTCTCAGCTCCTTTTCTGTGTAATTTCTCATCAGTAAACTTTATATTAGTGATGAGCAGGGCCACACGGTTGCTCATGGAATTCTTGGCCACAGGGTAAATCTGAAAAACAGATTTAAAGGGAAAGAAGTATAACAAATGTATGTATCATTTATCAATAAATATTGTAAACTTACTTAAGAAAACTGTTTTTCCCACTTGTGAAACAACACCTTTCTATCGAGGTCAGGTAAACTAAGATGTACAGGAACCTATTTAATACTCTTGATATGACTTTTATGAAGGACTAACATCTCTATCACTCAGTTTCTCCCTCCGGAGGTCCTCGCTGGTACGGATGAGTGTGGTTGAACATTGCTGCTCCTTCTGTGACTCTGCAGATGTGAACAGCAAAGCATTTCTGTTCAAAATGGTGTACTTCTTTATTATACCTCTATTCATGACGGGGTCAAAGAATGATATTAGTCACTATAGCTAAAATATGTCAGCTCACCCGGCTGAGCAGGTTGACCAGAGGACAGACCCAGTTCAGAGTGAAGTGAAGGATCT